CTAACACAGATCCAGCGTGGGGTACCCTTAATCCCAGCATCATACACCTACATCCAGCCCCCTTCAGAAAGTCCCATCTGGCCTCATGAGGCTCTGGGTAGCTGGGGATGGACATCTAGACACAGGCTATAGCAGACATACTTGAGTTTGTGTATTCTCTACCCCCAAAATTCCACTCCTAGAAATATAAGCTGGAGATGTTCTCGCACACTTTATGAGGAGACGCTCCCAGGAACATTTATGACATCCTTTTTTTTTTTTTGAAAACAAACAGGGAAAGAACATCAAATATCCATTGAGAGAAGATCTCTGAATAAATGGTAGAAGGCCAACATGTCATACAACAATGAAAGTGAACAGAATTCAACTGCTTTTGTAGGGCTAAAAAAGACAAGTTGCAGAAGACAAGCTATGCATAACACTTTTTAAATGTTTTATTTAGATGTGGTTAACACACAAAATGGTACATATTTAAAGCATAGGTTTTGGTGAGTGTTTGCATAAATATGTGTGTGTGTGTGTGTGTGTGTGTGTGTGTGTGTGTGTGTGTGTGTGAAATCATCACCACATTCAAAATAGTAAGTATTTTCATTGCCCCCAAATTCTCTCATAATCCTTTGAAACCTATTCTTTCTTCCAACCCATTTCTGAACAATCACTAACCTTTTTTCTATAATGTTACATTGCATTTCTAGGATTTTATATAAATTAAATCATACAACGCACTCTGTTTTGACTGGCTTCTTTCACACTGAATAATGATTTTTGAGTTTTATCCATGTTGTGGCAAGTATCAGCAAGTGTCAAAGATAGCTCTACTGTTCAGGAACCCTCATTATCTTTCCATCAATTTAAATAACATTTATTTACTCAGCAGTTAGGTACTGGTCTGTGGACATAGTCTTTAGGATGGAAGGAAAGTTAAAAGATGCTCTAATAGTAGGACCTGATGGATAAGACAAAGAGCAAACAATCTCAGTCTCTCTGTGTCTGCTCCCTGTCTGTCTGTCTGTCTGTCTGTCTGTCTCTCTCTCTCTCTTTTATCTTTCTTTTTCTCTCTTCTCTCTTCCTTCTACATGACCGTTAAGGCTGATATGTCAACTCCATTGGATTAGAAATGCCTAATAGATTAGTAAAGAACTCTCCTTGGTGTGTGTCTGGGTGACTCGTGGCATCATGATCTTGGGTGCTGTATTTGGTCCCTCACCTATTCCTCTCTGGAACCTATTCCTCTCCTGCCTCAGCTACTCAGCCACTAGGAACTAAGCAGTTTGGCTCTACCATGCTCCTTTGCCATGACATTTCTCCCTTGGAATCAGATAACCATGAACCAAATCCTCTTTAACCATGAACCAATTTAAACCTCTACATTAACTTGTAGGAGTTGGCTATTATGTCTTAGCAATGGGAAAAATGATTAATACATCCCATCCTGTGTGGACACAAAAAGCTGATCAGGCTAGAAATCTGTTTTCAGACTTCTAGTCTCCATAAAGAACTGTGAGAAGTAAATTCAGTTGTTGGAGCCCTAGTCCAGTGATGGCGAACCTTCAGAGATCAAGTGCCAAAACTGCAGTCCCGAACTTAGTTCTTTATCACACAGTGCCAACACTGCAACTAAACCTGAATACTATGGTTTTAGTTTAGAAAAAACAACTGTCATGCAATCCTCAGCTGCTAGGGTAACCTGGCTTGCATGCCAACAGAGAGGGCTCTGTGTACCTACAGCGGCACACATTCCACAGGTTTGCCATGACTGTGATATTTTGTTACGCAGCCTGAGCTTACTAAGACAGACCCCCAATCAGCGAGGAATCAAGGTAGCCTGCTTTCAGCTTGTCTCATAGACACCAGTGTGAGCAACAGGAAAGGTCTTATAGCCCAGGTACACTTGCTTCCTGCTAGTGAGGCTTAATCATTAGCTTACATAATTACTCACAGGTAGAGCTTCATGTCAACTCCTCCTGTGCCCTTCTCTTGCCACTCCGAAGAAAGAATGTGTAGCAAGACAGACTTTAACTTGAACAGCAGGTAGGCCTTTATCTCTCTGATTCTCTTTCTTCGATCAAAGCAGCAGAATCTTGCCTTTGTGTGCCTTACCCAGTGAGGCAGGAAGAGAAGGGAACATAGAAACCAGAAGCCCTCTCCACAGTGACACAGAGGAAGATTTGTGCATATTTTCTGGGGTCTAGAAAAGTGAAATAGTGGCATGTTCTATAAATGAAGAATCCAGCAAAAAAGGGGGAGGCTCTAGGAGGGAGGGAGAGAGAGAAAGAGTACAGGCCTAGAAAGCTTCCCTGCCTGCCTCCCTGTTCTGTTCCTCTTTAAACTCTCCCTGCCGCCCAGAGCTGCCACCCCTCCAGCCGTAGGTGCCTACCTGCCACACATTCTTAGCAACTTGCCCTTCCCTCCTGGGCCTGAGCAATCAATGAGCAGAGGACAGAGGTGTCATCACCCGCTGTATTTGTGTTTCGAATCTGCAGGTCCCCCTGAGCCCCGCCTGTCCTTAGATTTAAGCAAGTCCTTGTCTTTGAATGTCCTCTCATGCTAAAAAGTGATGGTGATAATTGACTAATAATGATCATGTATTGATTGCTTTCTATTTACCAGTCACTGTGCTAAGCACTCTGCCAGCACCACTTCATTCGAGTCTCACGACAGCCCTGTTATGTGTGTAATATTATCTTCATCTCCATTTCAGGAGTGATGAGAGTGAACCTTACAAGGGATTCCTAAAACTGGCCAAGCTACTACCCAATGGTGGGCAGTGGGGACCCTCCAGATGGGCTGGGAATTTACTCCCACATGTCAGGATTTTACTTAATTCTAATGGGAAAATGAAGCAAAAATCGTTTTAGGATTTTATCTTTATGTGCAGCAAATGGCTTCTTCCTAGCAATCCTGTAATTGTGTGACTAAAGATAATCACACTTTGGTTCACATAAAATAAAATTTCATAAAAGTAGCTCATTTACTGGAGTACATCACACACTCCGATATTTGAGAGGTGGAAGTTGAGGATGCTGTGTTAGCGCCTCTGTCCCCAAGCACACACACACTTGATAAACCCACAGTTTTCCCAACTCTTCATTACCAGATGTCATTACCTGCGCCTTGAATTGACAAGTCGTTTCTATCACTGTATTCTTGCTCTTGAGTGATGGCTTGCTGTTATTGTAGCTTTACCACTATTTATGTAATTTGTTGTGGTTTTCTGTATAATCCTATTGTGAGTGGTGAGGCATATTGAATAGTTTGGTCTGTTATTTTCTAAGAATGAAATTGAAGAAATACATAGATTAGGCTAAAACCACATAAACCTGCCCATATTTAACCACTTTTTACCTTAGGTTAAACCATACAAATCTGACTATCTCCAACTATTGTTAAACCATAAAAATGCCAGTTTTGTGCGGTTCAATTTATTAGTTCAAATGTAAATTACTACTATCTTGTCTGGAAGGCAATTGTTTGTGCAATTCCCTCCAAGTAAGTGTGTGCAGTGACACTTAATTGGTGATATTCTGGCTTTGAATTTGTGCTATCTAAATAATTTGCTACATAGAATTATCAGGTAACTGCAAGATAATTGCTGTGTTATTTTAAGTTTGCATATTTTTTTCCAGCATTCAAACTCTTGATTGTAAGCTCACATTCTTCCCTTACAAATCCTTGGTCTATATCCTCCTCTTGTGCTGTGTTCCCTGTGGTGCAGCAATGGGTGGGACACGCAGACCTCGAGGTCTTTTGTGTCACCTAAGCAGATGCTGGATGAAGAAATAGCACTTTTGAAAAAGCTTCTTCACCCAGCATCTGCTTAGATAATTAGACATGAATTTACTGAATGCCTACTGTATTCCAGCCACTCTACTTCATCTGTTAGGTTAAATCTTATTTTATACTGCAACGAACCCTATGAGGTTGGAATGATCATTCCATACAGGTAAAGAAACGAGTTCGTGGTCTTAGATGCTAGCTCACTGTTGCAGAACCAGTATGTAAGTGGTAAAAACAAAAGCACACTCATGTGCCTGTTTACCATACTCCTTTTCTTGCCTAGCCTCTTCTTCCCCTTCCTCCCAAATTTAATTCATCCTATTGGTTCTACCTATAAAATTTGTCTCCCCTCCCCCATTGTTACTTTTTCTGCTCTATTCCTATCTTTCCTGTGGGCAAATGCGGGAGTCTCATAGGCTCCCCTCTGTTTCTATTCTCCACCCTTCCTCTCCATCCTGCAGCCCCATCTTGCTCTCTGGAGCACTATTATTTATAGATCTGATGATGCTCTAACTCTTCCATCAACCTGCAGTGCTTATAGGATATAAAACATTTCACACAAGTCTAATCTGCCTTTCTGGCCATCTCTTCCAACACTTGCAAATCCTACCAAACCCTCTGGTCACACTCCTTTCTCTCCACACCCATGACCTTGCCAACCCCATTCTCCACCTGGCAAATTTTCAGGCCCAATTCAATATCACTACCTCTGGAAGAGTCGTCCTAGACTGTTCATACAGCATGTAAGTCCTCCTATTTATTATGTCCACAGGATTCTGTACACATTTTTAATTGAAAAATTTCTGTGGAACATTATCTGCTGGTTTAAATGTCTAACGCATCTTTACTATATGGATAACAAGCCCCTGAGGGATAAGGATCATTCTGTATTTGTCTTTGGATTGCCAGTGTTTAGAAGACTGCCTGGCACAAGTTAAGTGCTCACTAAGTGTGCACTAAATATACAAATTCCCTCACAGCTCTTGGTACACATAAAAGCACACCAAGAAACTGCTCAGGCCAGCAGGTTGAACACTGATCTGAAGTAGGGATTATTTCAGGATCATCCGTCCACTGGCTGTGTCACCAGGCACAGCAAGGGTGTGGGTCTCTGTTTCCCCACTTATAAAATCTGGGAACAACAGTATATACTTTTGGGACTTGCATCTGATGATGCCAGAGCTTGACTACTTGCCCCTAAAAGTACATCTTTTTCTCACCAGAAGGAAAAGACCTCAGAAGTCTTCTAAGAAGTGATGGCCCATAATCCAGACCTTCTGCCAGAGACCTCCATCACCAAGTTCAAGGATCAGGACTTTAACTCTTTGCGCAACCATTGCCTAAGCAAGAGAAAGTGGTTTATGGATGAGACATTCCCTGCTGAAGCTTCTTCCATAGGCCAGAAACTACTTCAAGGAAAAAATCTTTCCAACCTGAAATGGATGCGGCCACAGGTGAGTGAGCTCCCTGGAGCACAGTCAGCTATGGGGCCCATGGAACAGCCCGCCATGACACCATGACACCTGCAAGTGAAAGGAAGATAGATCTGAGACAGTTTTCAGAGATGGTCCAGACCAAACTAGAGGAAGAATGAAATCAATCCAGTCCATTTGCTATAATATTGTATCTTCTCAGTGGGATGCGAAGCCTTGTGCCAGAAGAAGGATCTGGATCCTTGGGCTCCAACCCAGTCCTCACACTGAGCTTGCCACTAGATTAAACTGCTTCTGTTCTCTCATAGAAAAAATGGGAAGCCAAAGATGTGAGGATCGTAATAGCTGATCTTTAGGGTCTCTCCCCCTCCATAATTGAGCCCATCTATCAGCATGTCGACATTTATTCTCTCCAGGTGTCTGTGTCTTTATATTCTCCTTTCCTATTAGAATTTACTCAAAGGAAATATATCATGTCAGTCATTTATACTATAGGATGAATTTAAATAATTGCCTCATCTTTCTCTTTTATATTCACACTCTCCATCTTGTAAAGGCTTGATCACCCATAAAAGAATTTTAGACTGTAAAATTAGGAAGATATTGCAAGGCTGTATTCAGAGCACTGACTCCCCTGCATCTATGAACAGCTGCTAACCGCACCTTGTAGCAAAAGAAGTGTCTTTCAATATCCATGGCATGGCAGACAGGAAGAAGCAGGTAACAAGCAGCAAACCTGGCTGTCTTTTGTTCCATGCAGGCTGGAAGCCTTTTGGATGGTGCCACTTACACCCAGAGTGGGCTTCTGTTTTCAGTAAATCCATTCAACCACACCTAGAACTATACTAATTCCAATCAGTGTATTTAGTATCACACACCCTTAATTCCAGTATCACAAACTCCAGATCCAGCAAGCTCTGAAAAGCCCTACCTATGAGTACATGAGAATTTGGACAGACATTGGATTTAAGGTATAACATTCTTCTCCTGACCCCAAAGAGACTCAAACATATCTCTTTATGTAAAAGTCATTTAATCTACCTGTAAGAGTTGCTAAAATCCAGCAGTTTCAGCATTGCTGAAAAGTGTAAGTCCAAAGTCTTCTCTGAGATCTAAGACCAATGCTTCACTTTGAGCCCCTGCACCAATGAAAGAAAGTTAAACACTTCCAACAAACAATAGCACAAGATAAACATTTTCAGTCCAAAAGGTACAAATAGGAAAATAGAAGCCAGTGGGACCAAAGCAAGTCCAAAATCTAATATGGTAAACATTAAGTCTGCAGTTTTACCCAGGGAAATCTGTGACAAGTTGTGCACTTCAAAAGACATGGGTGGTCCCAGCCCTATAACACCACTGGTGGTTGCAGCTCTCATGGTTTATCTCTTGGGCTGGCTTTGCTCATTCCTTGCAGCTTTCCTCAGACAAGTCACATTCCTGGTTTTTCCAACCTTCGAGGATTAAATGGACTTTTGGCTTCACTCTCACAGAATCACACACAACCATCTCAAGGACACACTGCCTGGCCTCCCAGACCTTCTTCTGAAATATGAGGGAAGCATTCCTGACCCCACAACTCTTGCACTATGAAAGCAGTTAAAATAACACTGTATGGACAATGCTAAGATTTTCCTTCTCTTTTGTTTTTAGGGGTTGAGTACCTGAATTATTGAATACTATGAACCCAATTGGGAACAAGTTTCCTGGGCTGCCACCATTCTGAAACAGTGCTCTGGGGCTGTCTTCTCAAAACAAAGTATTTCACCTTTGCAATGTTGAGGCTGCAAATAATAGAGTCCTGGTGGTTCTTATGATGTCCTCAAGCCATATTTTCTATTATCTTGTTCCTTTTCAGCAACAAAATTATCCCCCACTCCAACTTTGTAGCCCAAAACTTTATCAGAGTTTCCTTTCTGGCCAAACTCAAAATATTTTAAATCATTCTTCCGGGCTTTTTTCTCTTGATTCTCAACATAAATTTGGCTAAAAAGCTCCCAGCAGTAACCATTTCCACTGCCTCAAACTGCCTCAGACTGTCTTAAAACTTCCTTGGCCACATTAATTAGTTCACCATACTTCATCTCAGTCTCAGACAAAGTCTTTGGACATGAGCAAAATGCAAACAAATTTTTCTGCCAAAGTATAACATACATGGCCTGGAATCTAACAGCCAATGAAGTCCTTGTTCCTAACTGAAAACTCCCAAACCTGGTCTTTCCTGGTAGCATTTCTATCAGCATTCTGGTCTTCTAAGCACTGAACAGAATCCCCCAACAAGTTTGATTTACAACACTCCAGAACTGCTTCTTCCCAATTCTCAACCTTTTCAAATTCTTCCCACAAGCCAGTTACAAAGGCTTGTGAACCACATAGCTAGGAAGTATCACAGCAATTACCTCACTTAATTTTCTCATTACTTACTTTTCTTATTGCCTGATGGAAATACCAGACACCTATAACTTAAAGGAGGAAAGCTTACAGTTTGTAGAGGCTTCAGTCTATAGCTGCCTCACTCTAAGCAGGGTGGCATGGCAGAGGAGATTCCCAGAGGAGAAACTGTTCATGGTGTGGCAGGCAAGGGGCAGCAAGCAGTAAGCCTGCCTTTCCCTTTGTCCCATCTGGGATAGATGCCTCTTAGGTGGTGCCACCTTCACCCAGAGTGCAGCTTCTGTCTTCTAGTCAGCCATACCCAGAACTATGCAAATTCTAATCAGTGCGCAAATTTAGTTCTGTGCTCCCTTAATTCCAGTACCACTGACTCCAGATCCAGCAAGCTCTGAAAAGCCCTCTCTATAAGTACATGAAGCTTTGGGGACACATCTAGGTATGTGCCAAAACCAGGAGCCTTGCTGGTTTTTCTAGAACTATGCCAATTTTACAGCATGAAACTCCATGGGAAATTTTTCAGCAACTTCAAAATTCTCATAAGCTCATCAAGATTGCTGCTGATTCAAAGGAACCAGATAAGGACCACATTGAGGATTCAGGTCCAAAACCTCTTATTCATGTCTCCAAAACCTGCTAGAACATAAAACAAGAGAAAACAGTACCAAATTTGGCAAGCAAATGACAGTTTTATCAGCACAGTTACTGAGACTAATAAAATGCCCAGCTTCCTACTGAGCACTTTTTCATTAAGACCAGGTCAAGATACTTAGCAAAGGTATTTTCTGATAATGACAAGTAAGAGGCTGTGATATCCCAACAGGATCTGTCTGGTTCATGGATAATGAATATCCTCTGCCCTTGGGAAGGAAGAATCATGACATCAAGCTCTGGAGGTGGCACCACTTTCCTTGGTTGAGTCAGATTTATATTTTGGGGAAGGAAAGGGTTAGTCAAGATCAGGTAGAGTCTGACATGCTGCTTACAGAAAACATGAGCATTTCCTCCTCCTTTGACCGCTTCATCAGCCATCAGTAGTAAGTTACCAATAACAAATGCTTCTTTTGGCTTTTATCTCCTAAGAAGTGTTGAGGAGACAGAGAAGTCTATTTAAAAATCCATTTTTTCTCTTTGTTATTTTCAAAAGCTGAGATTCTTTTGGAAAGTGGTGGAGTTATTTTCTTCTTCTTTTCACAAGGTGCTGAGGAATAGATGCGAGACCATATTTATAGTCTCGAGGAATTTATAACATTTCTATTTAGAAAGGGTGAGAGTTTCTTATTATCTAATTGTAGTCATCCCCGTTTGGTAGATTCAACTTGTGATATCTTGTGGGAGTAAGGAGAAACTGAGGCAAACAGAAGTGAAGTGACTCATGCGCAGTCACACTAGGAACCAAAAGCAGAGGCAGCTAGTGGCCTTGGGGGCTTTTCCCATTGCTCTCCTCATCCAAAAACTTAACTAAAATTCCCATGTTGTTTTTTATTCTAGCACTTCCTTTAAAACATTGTGTTTCTATTTACTGCTTTACACAGTTATCAGTACTTACATTTGTAGGTACTTTCCAAAGCTTGCTGTATATCAGTACTTAAATTTGTAGGTACTTTCCAGAGCTTACTGTATGTCTTCTCTTATTTTTTTGTTCTTTGTTTTCTAGTTTTATGGAGAAAAAATGAGGTTCAGACAGGCCGTATGATTTGCCCAAGGGGACATGGTTAGGGAAGGAAGGACCCCAGATGTAAACTAAGACTCCAGACCTCGAGTAGAGCATTTTGCCTTGCATGGACTTGACAGTCTAAGAGGAAATTCGTTAGGATTTAAATGAATAGGTGAATGAAAGAATAAATGGATGAATGAATGAATTAGTGAGTGAATGAACTATCTCCAATTGCCTGGCACAGGTCTCTAGCTTTTTGTACAATAGAGAAATCTTGAGTTGGTCTGTTTTCCATGTTGCATGGCAGAGGAAAAAGCCAGTTACTCATCTCTTCAATACTGTGGTATCCTTGAATTCAAAGCTTAAGCTGTGACTGCCAAGGACCTTCAAAAAAGAGATTCAGGCAGCTTGGTCCAGTCCCAGAAGCAGCAGCCAACACACACAGTACTGACCACAAGGCAGGCCTGGATGAAGGTTCTTTGATTCACTGAATCCTCACGGTATCTCTGTGATGAGGTCCTAATAGCAGTTCCACTTTGAGACGAGAAGCAGACACACAGAGTAGAATGAGCTCCCAGAGTCAACCAGCTAAACAGAGTAGAGCTGACATTGGAATGTTGGAGTCTGTCTCTAAGACCTAAATTCCTGCCACCACTCTACATTGGATCTTGGTTCATGAACTTAATTCTTCCCACAATTCTGGTTGGACATTGAATGGATGAGAACCAAATCAAGTTTCCCCATAAAGTCAACATTGAACCTAACCACTGAATTTGATTCAGTTCTCATCTCATTCAGTTTGTGACGAGAACTGTGCAAAGAAGTAAGCTCGGGAATCGAGGTCCCACTTGCCATCTCCTGTAAGGCTCCATCAGAAGTGTACATTGCATTCTGGGCTTTGCTTACTGGCAACAATATTTTGTGCATGAACAGAATCACCCACCTCACATATGCTGAGTCCTATTGCCACTTGTAGAAG